GTCTTGCAGTTGGATGCCAAACAGTTGTCATACCAAGCGGTGATGCAGCCAGTCAATATGCTCTCAATGGTGCAGCTGTAGAACTTTTTGAAGATCTGAGGGACCATGCCAAATCTTTTCAGCCTCCTGAGGGGGAAGAGGCATTGTCGTGCCCTCTTCACGACTGTGTTGATGTGTTTGGACCATGATAGTTCCTTAGTGATGTTGACACCGAGGACCTTGAAGCTCTCGACCTCTTCCAGAACAGCCCCATGGATGTGGTTGGGATCGTGCTCGGCCCTCCATTTCCTGTAGTCCACGATCAGCTCCTTTGTCTTGCTGATGTTGAGGGAGAGTTTGTTGTCCTGGCACCACACTGCCAGGTCACTGCCAGGTCTCTGACCTCCTCCCTGTAGACTGTCTCATCGTCGTCGGTGATCAGGCCTACCACCATTGTGTCATCTGCAAACTTAATGATGGCGTTAGAGTTGTGCACAGCCATGCAGTCGTGGGTGAACAGGGAGTACAGGAGGGGACTAAGCATGCACCTCTGAGGGGCCCCCGTGTTGAGGGTCATTATGGCGGATGTGTTGTTGCCTACCCTCACCACCTGGGGCCAACCCGTCAGGAAGTCCAGTATCCAGTTGCAGAAGGAGGTGTTTAATCCCAGGGTCCTAAGCTTAGTGATTGGAGGGCACAATGATGTTGAACGCTGAGCTGTAGTCAATGAACAGAATTCTCATGTAGGTGTTCCTTTTGTCCAGGTGGGAAATGGCAGTGTGGAGTACAATAGAGATTGCGTCATCTGTGGATCTGTTGGGACATTTTGCAAATTGGAGTGGGTCCAGGGTTCGGAGATGATGGTGTTGATGTGAGCCATGACCAGCCTTTCAAAGCATTTCATGGCTACAGATGTGAGTGCCATGGGGCGATAGTCATTTAGACAGGTTACCTTGGTGTTCTTGGGCTGAGAGAGAGCGAGAGAGAGAGAGAGAGAGAGAGAGAGAGAGAGAGAGAGAGAGAGAGAGAGAGAGAGAGAGAGAGAGAGAGAGAGAGAGAGAGAGAGAGAGAGAGAGAGAGAGAGAGGAGAAGAGAGGAGAGAGAGAGAGAGAGAGAGAGAGAGAGAGAGAGACAGAGAGAGACAGAGAGAGAGAGAGAGAAAGAGAGGGGGGTTGAATCAAATGAGAGAGAGAGAGAGAGAGAGAGAGAGAGACAAAGAAAATTAGAGGAACTGGATAAGAGCCAAACAGATAAAGACAAGAGAATATTACTGGACAAAGCAAAGGATGTCGACACAGCACAGGTATTGAGATAGACAAACACGCACACACATAGATGACATTAAATGGCATATTACAGTATCAGTCAAAAGTTTGGACACAACTACTCATTCAAGGGTTTTTCTTTATTTTTACTATTTAGAATCATAGTGAAGACATCAAAACTATGAAATAACACATATGGAATCATGTAGTAACCAAAAAAAGTGTTAAACAAATCAAAATATTTTTTATATTTGAGATTCTTCAAAGTAGCCACCCTTTGCCTTGATGACAGCTTTGCACACTCTTGGCATTCTCTCATTCAGTTTAATGAGGAATGCTTTTCCATCAGTCTTGAAGGAGTTCCCACATATGCTGAGCACTTGTTGGCTGCTTTCCCTTCACTCCGCGGTCCCAAACCATCTCAATTGGGTTGAGGTCAGGTGATTGTGGAGGCCAAGTCATCTGATGCAGCACTCCATCACTCTCCTTCTTGGTCAAATAGCCCTTACACAGCCTGGAGGTGTGGTTTGGGTCATTGTCCTGTTGAAAAACAAATGATAGTCCCACTAAGCACAAACCAGATGGGATGGCGTATTGCTACAGAATGCTGTGGTAGCCATGCTGGTTAAGTGTGCCTTGAATTCTAAATAAATCACACGAGATCGGAGATCATCCATTCACCTACTCTGCGTCTCACAAAGAACCAAAAATCTCAAATTTGGACTCATCAGACCAAAGGAGTGGTTTCCACCATTCTAATGTCCATTGCTCGTGTTTCTTGGCCCAAGCAAGTCTCTTCTTCTTATTGGTGTCCTTTAGTAGTGGTGTCTTTGCAGCAATTGGACCATTAAGGCCTGATCACGCAGTCTCCTCTGAACAGTTGATGTTGAAATGTGTCTGTTACTTGAACTCTATGAAGCATTTATTTGGGCTGCAATCTGAGGTGCAGTTAACTCTAATGAACTTATCCTCTGCAGCAGAGGTAACTCTGGGTCTTCCTTTCCTGTGGCGGTCCTCATGAGAGCCAGTTTCATCATAGTGCTTGATGGTTTTTGCGGCTGCACATGAAGAAACTTTCAAACTTCTTGAAATGTTCCAGATTGACTGTCCTTCATGTCTTAAAGTAATGATGGACTGTTGTTTCTCTTTGCTTATTTGAGCTGTTCTTGCCATAACATGGACTTGGTCTTTTACCAAATAGGGCTATCTTCTGTATACCACCAGTACCTTGTCACAACACAACTGACTGGCTCAAACGCATTAAGAAGGAAAGAAATTCCACAAATGAACTTTAAACAAGGCACACCTGTTAATTGAAATGCATTCCAGGTCACTACCTCATGAAGCTGGTTGAGAGAATGCCAAGAGCGTGCAAAGCTGTCATCAAGGCAAAGGGTGGTTACTTTGAAGAATCTCAAATATAAAATATATTTGTTTAACACCTTTTTGGTTACTACATGATTCCATATGTATTTCATAGTTTTGATGTCTTCACTATTATTCTACAACAGGGTTCTTCAATTCCGGTCCTGGAGGGCCGAAACACCTATGTTTTTCATCCTCTCCTTCTAATCAGGGGCTAATTCAGACCTGGGACACCAGGTGAGTGCAATTAACTACCAGGTAGAAATAAAAAACAGAAGTGTTTTGGCCCTCCAGGACCGGAATTGAAGAACCCTGTTCTACAATGAAGAAAGTAGTAAACATAAACAAAAACCTTGGAATGAGTAGGTGTGTCCAAACATTTGACTGGTACTGTATATTTAAGCAATAAGGCCCAAGGGGGTGTGGTATATGGCCAATATACCATGGCTAAGGGCTGTTCTTATGCACTGCGCAACGCAGAGTGCCTGGATACAGCCCTTAGCCGTGGTATATTGGCCATATACCACAAACACCAGAGGTGCCTTATTCCTATTATAAACTGGTTACCAATGTAATTAATAAATGTTTTGTCATACCTGTGGTATACGGTCTGATATATCATGGCTGTCAGCCAATCAGCATTCAGGACTCAAACCACCCAGGTTATAATATATAATATATTAGATGGAGAGATGTGTTTCCACAGTAGCAGGGCAGGGTGTGGTGTAAGGTTAGAGCTCAAGGGCTTGGTTCGTGACTCAGGGAGGCTGCTGAACTGGTTTGGCTGCTGGCTGCTGGATCAGCAGCGTTTTTGGGTGGGCCAGGCAGGCCCTGTCAGGGGCTCTCAGTGTGATGACACATGATAGAGTCAGAACTCTGAGACGGTCTCTATGACTCTAACTCAGAACTCTGAGGCTGACTAACTGATGGAACATGACAGGGTGAACATCAACATAGAAAAACAGTCTCAGAGAGAGAGAGAGAGAGAGGGTGAGAGAGAGAGAGAGAGAGAGAGGGAGAGAGAGAGAGAGAGAGAGAGAGAGAGAGAGAGAGAGAGAGCAAGAGAGAGAGAGAGAGAGAGAGATAGAGAGAGAGAGAGAGAGAGAGAGAGAGAGAGAGGAAGAGAGAGGAATAAAGATTAAACATAACACACAGACACACACACATGCAGATGCACACACTCACACACACACACTCTCTCTCTTTCTCTAGTGATGTGCCATGTCAGCAATAGGTCAGAAGAAGATTTAGTTTAGTTTCCTATAGCACTGAGGCAGCCATCCTTCCCGCTTCCCCCCTTCCCATAGTAAAGTATGAAAATGTATGCACTCACTAACTGTAAGTCGCTCTGGATAAGAGCGTCTGCTAAATGACTAAAATGTAAATGTAAGGACTCCCTCTCTAAGTAGGCTACACCCAGCCTCAATCAATATAGATAAGGGTCTAGCACCTCTCACTTTTCTCTCCCGACTTCCATCCCGACTTCACTGCTTTAAGCGCGCCCTAGTGGACGGTTCGTGCCCTTCATGTGGAGAACCTCCCCTGCCATAGAAGACAGGCGAACCGCAGTGAGAAAAAATCAAATCACACCCCAGCAGCTGCCAAGCGTAAAAAAAACATTTGATTGGTGAGAAATGTTCATGTTCACTACGCCTGACTGTTGGTTAACCTATATATCCTTCTGTTTTATGAACTTTTTTCAATTCCTCTTTAACTTTCCGGGTAAATAACATTAGGAGGATATTTATGACTAAAGTTACTAAAAAACCAAACATGTAAATGTTTAAAAAAGACATAAGAAACCTATATTTCAGTCACCGGTGAAGTCATTCAGATTGGACTTTCAACAGACATGACCTCTTAGTCTTTCAAACCACTGCGATATATTAGGCTACCAAGCCATCTCCCAGTGTCTCATAAGATCATTACAACAACAGCTAAGCCTTAAGAGTTAGTCTACTTGCTACAGTTTCCCCTCAGGTGCGCAAGCACGCACAGTAACCTGCCCGGTGCTGTGGATCCTTAGCTGCTCCTCTGATTGGTGTAGGACCCTGTTTAAACCCCATTCAAACTCCCGCTCTGCTCCCTCTTTGTCACCGCGCTGCACGCTGGAGAGATGTGCAGAACAGCCGTGGCGCGTCGTCGGTGCCAGTCCTTCACGCAACTGGAGTTTTGTTCACGGGGAGCTCAGCGGAGGGCTCGTTTTAAATATTAGATAGGGTTTCTTTTTCATTGACAGCGTTGCTAACGGAATTATGAGACTTGTTCATTGCTACGGGGGCTCTCGAGTAGTTTTATGTATTTAATGCATGATATTAGTTTATAGAAGCCTCTACAGAGCAGATGAGAATCATCATGAATTTGCGGGTATCTCTGCTTGTCCTTTCGGCGATGTGTGCACTTAGTTTCGGCACCATCCCTGGTAAGTACAGGAACTGGAACAACTGCATGTCTTGTATGATAAGTAGTGTAACTTCTAAAAGTGTGGGGTTTGCGAGGGATAGCCTATTTGGAACTGAAAAGTGCACTAGGTTGGGATGGAAATAAAGGTTCCTCTATCCAAGTCACGTGGGAAGAAAACATAACACATCTGGCCTTACATCAAGTTATGATATGACATTCCTCAAGATTCCAATTACTCATATTCAATCTGACAAACTGGGAGCATTAACTGCACTCAGGCATGGCGGCGCGCCTGTTTCTCCCAGCAACAGGATCAATCTCCAGAGGACGCACGCACTCGCTCCGGTCTGGTTCTGTTTCTGCTGACCGACAAAACAAGGACAAAAGCAGGGACAGACGCGGTGTCAGGTGACAGTGTATGTCTCTCAACGCAGTGTTCTCTTTCTGAAACCAACGGTCATAATATCTGGTATCTGGTGAATTGTTGAAGGGCAATTTCCATTTGGCAGAAACACCCCAAGGTTATTCGTAAATGATTGGTTTACAATGCCTTCTGAAAGTATTCAGACCCCTTTACTTTTTTCCAAATTTTGATAGGTTACAGCCTTATTCTAAAATTGATTAAATTGTTTCCACCCCATAATGACAAAGCAAATGCAGGTTTTTAGATTTTTTGCTAATTTAGAAAAAATAAAAAACGGAAATATCACATTTACTTAAGTATTGAGAGGCCTGGGCATTATTGTTCACTAATTTACTCCAAGTAGGGAAAGGATGGTGGGGTTGAAAAGTAATGAAGGGGAGTATATATATAAAAAATAAACATGGGGGATTGGAAGTGATGCAGACAATTACATTGATAGAAGATACAATCTATCTGCAATATTAAGCTGATCCATCCCCCCCCCCCCCCCCCCAAAAAAAAAAAAAAAAAAAAATATATATATTAGTATTGAGACCCTTTACTCAGTACTTTGTTGAAGCAGCTTTGGCAGTGATTACAGGCACAAGTCTTATTGTGTATGATGCTACAAGCTTGGCACACCTGTATTTGGGGAGTTTCTCCCATTCTTCTCTGCAGATCCACTCAAGCTCTGTCAGGTTGGATGGGGAGCGTCGCTGTACAGCTATTTTCAGGTCTCTCCAGAGATGTTCGATCTGGTTCAAGTCCTGACTCTGGCTGGGCCACTCAAGGACATTCAGAGACTCCTGCGTTGTCTTGGCTGTGTGCTTAGGGTCGTTGTCCTGTTGGAAGGTGAACCTTCGCCCCAATCTGAGGTCCTGATCGCTCTGGAGCAGGTTTTCATTAAGGATCTGTCTGTACTTTGCTTCGTTCATCTTTGCCTCGATCCTGACTAGTCTCCCAGTCCCTGGCACTGAAAAATATCCCCACAGCATGATGCTGTCACCACCATGCTTTACCGTAGGTATGGAGCCAGGTTTCCTCCAGACGTGACGCTTGGCATTCAGGCCAAAGAGTTCAATCTTGGTTTCATCAGACCAGAGAATCTTGTTTCTCATGGTCTGAGAGTCTTTAGGTGCCTTATTGGCAAACTCCAAGCGGGCTGTCATGTGCCTTTTACTGAGGAGTGGCTTCCGTCTGCTACCAGCCAGCTCTAGCCTGGACTATTATCAGCCAGTCTGCACTGTCTGCACAGCGCGTTATCAACACAGAACATATCAGATTTTCTGCCGGATTCACTGAATCACTGGACCTTTAACACCGGATCATCGCAACCAGCTAGCTGCAACCAAATGGATGTTGTTGTTGGCTAATCAGCCTTGAGCTAGCCTCGAGGCAGGCCCATCTCCTGGCTATCTACCTCTCTGTCACCGGACGGGACCTCCTAGTGTCGACACGGAGCCCCGCCGATCCATCACGACTGGTCTGCCGACGTAATCGTCTGTGGTTTCAACAGGCTTCCCGTTGCGATGACCACGAAGATCCATATGCTAGCTCCGGCCCGCTAGCACACACAAACTGCTCGCCTGTGCTGTAGCACCAATTCGAACTGCTCCTGGACTCACATATTGCTGTTCACCGGACCTTATGATAACTCAGCTGCACAGCTGATGCCTGCTGGACTGTTCCTTTACACCGTACCCTGTCCTGTTTATCTGTTTAGCCTCAGCCCAAACTTTCATCGCCATTACCAGTTGTTGTCTTAGCTCTCTCGAATAACACCTGTGATTGCTTTATGCCTCTCTCCCATGTCAATATGCCTTGCCTATTGCTGTTCCAGTTAGTTCTTATTATACAATTTCACTGTAGAGCCCCAAGTCCCTCTCAAACTGCCTCAAATTGCTCCTTTGTTCCACCCCTCATACACGCTGAGACCGGCTCAATCGGTGCCTCCAGTGATGCTATCTCTTTCATTGTTACCCAACCTGTATATCAATGATGTCGCTCTAGATGCTGGTGACTCTCAGATCCACCTCTACGCAGACGACACCATTTTGTATACATCTGGCCCTTCATTGAACACTGTGTTACCAAACCTCCAAACGAGCTTCAATGCCATACAACACTCCTTCCGTAGCCTCCAAATGCTCTTAAACACTAGTAAAACGAAATGCATGCTCCTCAATCGAACACTGCTGGCACCCGCCCACCCGACTAGAATCACTACTCTCGGCGGGTCTGACCTAGAGTATGTGGACAACTACAAATACCTAGGTGTCTGGTTAGACTGTAAACTCCCCTTCCAGACCAAAGTTAAATCTAGAATCGGCTTCCTATTTCGCAACAAAGCCTCCTTCACTCATGCTGCCAAACATGCCCTCGTAAAACTGACTATCCTACCGATCCTTGACTTCGGCGATGTCATTTACAAAATAGCCTCCAACACTCTACTCAGCAAATTGGATGTAGTCTATCACAGTGCCATTTGTTTTGTCACCAAAGCCCCATATACTACCCACCACTGTGACCTGTACGCTCTTGTTGGCTGATCCTCACTACATATTCGTCGCCAAACCCACTGGCTCCAGGCCATCTATAAATCACTGCTAGGCAAATCCCCGCCTTATCTTAGCTCATTGGTCACCATAGCAACACCCACCCGTAGTATGCGTTCCAGCAGGTATATCTCACTGGTCATCCCCAAAGCCAACACCTCCTTTGACCGCCATTCCTTCCAGTTCTCTGCTGCCAATGACTGGAGCAAACTGCAAAAATCTCTGAAGCTGGAGACTCTTATCTCCCTCACTAACTTTAAGCATCAGTTGTAAGAGCACCTTACCGATCACTGCACCTGTACACAGCCCATCTGTAATTAGCCCACCCAACTACCTCATCCCCATATTGTTATTTATTTTGCTCATTTGCACCCCTGTATCTCTATTTGCACATCATCTCTTGCACATCTATCATTCCAGTGTTAATACTAATTGTAATTATTTTGCACTATGGCCTATTTATTGCCTTACCTCCATAACTTGCTACATTTGCACACACTGTATATATATTTTCTGTTGTATTTTTGACTTTCTGTTTTGTTTTACACCATATGTAACTCTGTGTTGTTATTTTTATAGCACTGCTTTGCTTTATCTTGGCCAGGTCGCTGTTTTAAATGAGAACTTGTTCTCAACTGGCTTACCTGGTTAAATAAAGGTTAAATAAATAAAATAAATAAAGTCTGGCCACTCTACCATAAAGGCCTGATTGGTGGAGTGCTCCAGAGATGGTTGTCCTTCTGGAAGGTTCTGCCATCTTCACAGAGGAACTCTAGAGCTCTGTCAGAGTGACCATCGGGTTCTTGGTCACCTCCCTGACCAAGGCCCTTCTCCCCCGATTGCTCAGTTTGGCCGGGTGGCCAGCTCTTGGAAGAGTCTTGGCGGTTCCAAACTTCTTACATTTAAGAATGATGGAGACATTTTTTGGTACCCTTCCCCAGATCTGTGCCTCGACACAATCCTGTCTCGGAGCTCTACAGACAATTCCTTCGACCTCATGGCTTTGTTTTTGCTGTGACATGCACTGTCAACTGTGGGACCTTAAATAGACAGGTGTGTGCCTTTCCAAATCATGTCCAATCAATTGAATTTACCACAGGTGGACTCCAATCAAGTTGTAGAAACATCTCAAGGATGATCAATGGAAACAGGATGAACCTGAGCTCAATTTCGAGTCTCATAGCAAAGGCTCTGAATACTTATGTAAATAAGGTATTTCTGTTCTTTATTTTATACATTTGCTAAAATTTCCTGTTTTCGCTTTGTCATTATGGGGTATTGTGTGTAGATTTATGAGGATTTGTATTTATTTAATCCATTTTAGAATAAGGCTGTAACGTAACAAAATGTTGAGAAAGTCAAGGGGTCTGAATACTTTCCGAAGGCACTGTATATGTGTGAAGGTTATGTTGAATGTGGCAAAATCTAAGTAGAGGGTTGCATTTTATTTCTAATGTAATACAGTTCTATACATAAACATACACACAAACGGTTTTGATTCCTGGGAGGAGAGGATGTTAAGGCAGACAGATGGGGAGCCAGAGGTCAAATCAGCTCCAGGGGCACACACACACACACACACACACACACACACACAAACACAAACACACACACACACACATTTTAAATACTTTATTTGAACCCACCAATTTTACAAAAAAAGAATCCAAACATTTCAAAGGTCCCTGTATGCATGGCACTAAAGGGTACAGAAAGCGCCTCCTTCTCCAAACAGCTATGCTGCCCACGACAGCTGAAACAGAGCAGTACCTAGCCAATTGCCTTGCCCTAGTTTTTAGCAGGCCCGCAATCTGGAGGCCACACACTGCAAGCATGTGTACGTGGCCGAGACTGCCAAATATCAGCGCCACCAGCTTGCACCTACACCCGAGGCTGTCCAAGTGTGCAAGCATACAGAAAGCGAGGGAGGGATAAACAGAGGCCACAAAAAGACACATACTTTCAGCTACACACTCATCTCTCCTGGATGAGTTTCAAAGGAGTTTCAAGTCATTTGAAAAACAGCCACGGGCTACCATGTTGCAGTGTCTGTGTCACTCTACCCTTCTCTCAGGCTCTCTGCCCCACCCCCTCCACTCCCACTCCTGTGTCATTGTTCGTACTCAGATTCATATTACTCAATCACTTTTCATGCTACCCCATTAAACACTATCTACATGCTAAACTAAAATTAGACACCTTTAGTCTGTGATGCTTAAACATTTATACTATAAATAATTGTTTAATTGACATTGAGCTGGTGATACAATTATTTGTTGCTTATAGATCTTATATGTAAAATCTATTTCTCTCTTCTCTCACCCCATTAAACTCTGTCTCTTTTCTGCTTTCTCTCTCTCTCCCTCCTTTCCTCTCCCATCTCCAGGTGAGTTTGGATCTCTGGCTGAGATGGAGGATCTCCTGTTGAGGAACCTGTTCCAGGGGTACCAGCGCTGGGTCCGGCCCATCCAGCACGCCAACGACACGGTCACAGTACGCTTCGGACTCAAGATCTCACAGCTGGTGGACGTGGTGAGGATACGCACGCACACACGTATGCATGCACAGGCATGAACACACACATGCTAAACGCACACACGCTAATCGCAGGCTAAACGCACGCACACGTACACAGTGGAAAAAGACCTTACCGTATAAACAAACAGTAAAAGACATGAACGGTTCAAAATATATTGTCTGAATGGCTTGAGCCATGTATTTCTTGTAATTCTGACTCTGTCCATGTTGCTGAAACAAGTAATGCTGAAAGAAAGGGGTACTATGAACCACAGTGAAACAACTCCACTCTCCTGAGCTGTCCAAGGTCCTGAAATAAAGCTGTTGGCCTCAGTGGAACTTCTATCTAGCTTTTTCTCTCCTTTTATGGAACTCACAGAACACACTCTTTTCCAACAGAGCTTTCATTTTTCAGGGCCTCATTTGATAAGCTGAGGTGGTTAGCTGTTCTTTCAAAGAACACAAGCAGCTAATGGAACAGTCCCATTCATGGTCTTCAATATTAACCTTGCCTACACAAGCAGCAGGATACATATTCTCTCTCTCTCTCTCTCTCTCTCTCTCTCTCTCTCTCTCTCTCTCTCTCTCTCTCTCTCTCTCAATTCAATTCAATTTGCTTTATTGGCATGACGTAACAATGTACATATTGCCAAAGCTTACTTTGGATATTTACAATATTAACATAATTAAAATAATAATCATCAATATTGTCAACGGGACAACAGTAACCAAGGGTCAAAATAACCATTGAACAATAACAATATAGAGGACATCTTATCTTATCTCTCTCTCTCTCTCTCTCTCTCTCTCTCTCTCTCTCTCTCTCTCTCTCTCTCTCTCTCTCTCTCTCTCTCTCTCTCTCTCTCTGAGGGGAGAGGCCTGTGGCATGTATGTAATTGTTTCAAGGCAAAAAGCGTTGTAAATACTAACTGATGTTATCATACCATAGAGAGAGAATGAGAATGAGAATGAAAGAATGTAGGAAAAGTGATCCAACACGGAGGATAGGAAAAGAGGGAGAGAGAGGAAGAACGAGAAAGAGAGAGAGCTGAAGCACAGGAGAAAGAGAGATATGGGTAGGATATGATAGGAAAAGAGATAGAACCTGGAGGATAGAGGTGAATCACAGGAGAAAGCGATAGAGATGGAGAGATACAGAGAGAAGTGATCTGCTCCAGGCTGATAAGTGGTGCCAGTGTTGCTAGGCATCTGTCCTGTATTAGGTTACAGTTCACCTCTGGACTATGTAAATTAAAATCTTCCCTGTTATGTTGTCCGGTGCCAAGTTTTTCTAAAGGAAACTCTGAAATGGAAAGATTTTAGAATATTCCCAAGAAAATCTATCACAATTGGATGGAAATCTAGCTATAGACACCCTAAAGACAAAAAATTTGTCACTTTGATTATGCCTGCACATCATGGTTCACCAGCAGCCCAAAACAGCTATAGAATAAGCTACCAGCCAAACAAGCTTGTAAGAATTGTACTTATACTCCCCCCTCATACTCATCTGGAGGTTGAGCATTTTTTCTATCTCTGTAATGTGTCTGTATCTATGTAATGTGTCTGTATCTATGTAATGTGCCTGTATCTCTGTAATGTGTCTGTATCTATGTAATGTGTCTGTATCTATGTAATGTGTCTGTATCTCTGTAATGTGTCTGTATCTCTGTAATGTGTCTGTATCTCTGTAATGTGTCTGTATCTCTGTAATGTGCCTGTATCTCTGTAATGTGCCTGTATCTCTGTAATGTGTCTGTATCTCTGTAATGTGCCTGTATCTCTGTAATGTGTCTGTATCTCTGTAATGTGTCTGTATCTCTGTAATGTGTCTGTATCTATGTAATGTGTCTGTATCTCTGTAATGTGCCTGTATCTCTGTAATGTGCCTGTATCTCTGTAATGTTTCTGTATCTATGTAATGTGTCTGTATCTCTGTAATGTGTCTGTATCTCTGTAATGTGCCTGTGTCTATGTAATGTGTCTGTATCTATGTAATGTGTCTGTATATATGTAATGTGTCTGTATCTATGTAATGTATCTGTATCTATGTAATGTGTCTGTATCTATGTAATTGTTTATGTGTTTATGTATAAAATAGGAACCACAATAGAAATAAGTCCCTGACTTTATTGTGCAATCCCGGTCACTTAAAAAATATTTGTGTATATATGTATTTTAAATGAAATACAATCAATCAATCAATCCAAACTGTGCGGTGGCCAATTGATGAATGGAAAGAGACCTCTGTTACAAAACACCAAAAAGTTTAATGACATTAGGAGATTGTCAAGCCAAGCCTTTGATACTGGGTAAGACTACAAGGTAAGGAGGGATGTATGTTCTGTTTGTCCAGATTGACAGTCTATTTATGGAGGTGATGAAAACGCAAACCATGATATTGAAGTGCCCAAAGTCGGTATGCTTTGTTTACTGGTTGTGTGGTGCATTGGCACAAAAACCCGTTGGTGGAAAATTTGTTCCATATACAGTGCCTTCGGAAAGTATTGACCTTGACCTTTTCCACATTTTGTTACGTTACAGCCTTATTCTAAAATTGATTAAATATTTGTTTTTCCTCAGCAATCTACACACAATACCACATAATGACAAAGCGAAAACATTTTTTTTGATTGTTTTGCAAATGTATTAAAAATAAAAAACAGAAATACCTTTACTTTACATAAGTATTCAGACCCTTTGCTATGAGACTCGAAATTGGTGCATCTTGTTTCCATTGATCATCCTTGAGATGTTTCTACAACTTGATTGGAGTCCACCTGTGGTAAATTCAATTGATTGGACATGATTTGGAAAGGCACACACCTGTCTATATAAGGTCCCACAGTTGACAGTGCATGTCACAGCAAAAACAAAGCCATGAGGTCGAAGGAATTGTCTGTAGAGCTCCGAGACAGGATTGTGTCGAGGCACAGATCTGGGGAAGGGTACCAAAACATGTCTGCAGCATTGAGGGTCCCCAAGAATACAGTGCCCTCCATCATTCTTAAATGGAAGAAGTTTGGAACCACCAAGACTCTTCCTAGAGCTGGCTGCCCGGCCAAACTGAGCAATGGTGGGAGAAGGGCCTTGGTCAGGGAGGTGACCAAGAACCCGATGGTCACCCCGACAGAGCTCTAAAGTTCCTCTGTGGAGATGGGAGAACCTTCCAGAAGGACAACCATCTCTGCAGCACTCCACCAATCAGGCCTTTATGGTAGAGTGGCCAGACGGAAGCCACTCCTCAGTAAAAGGCACATGATAGCCCAATTGGAATTTGCCAAAAGGCACCTAAACACTCTCAGACCATGAGAAACAAGATTCTCTGGTCTGATGAAACCAAGATTGAACTCTTTGGCCTGAATGCCAAGCGTCACGTCTGGAGGAAACCTGGCACCATCCCTACGGTGAAGCATGGTGGTGGCAGCATCATGCTGTGGGGATGTTTTTCAGCGGCAGGGACTGGGAGACTAGTCAGGACCGAGGCAAAGATGAATGGAGAGTACAGAGAGATCCTTGATGAAAACCTGCTTCAGAGCGCTCAGGACCCAGACTGGGGCGAAGGTTCACCTTCCAACAGGACAACGACCCTACGCACACAGCCAAGACAATGCAGGAGTGGCTTCGGGACAAATCTCTGAATGTCCTTGAGTGACCCAGCCAGAACCTGGACTTGAACCCGATCGAACATCTCTGGAGAGACCTGAAAATAGCTGTGCAGCAATGCTCCCCGTCCAACCTGACAGAGCTTGAGAGGATCTGCAGAGAGGAATGGGAGAAACTCCCCAAAAACAGGTGTGCCAAGCTTATAGCATCATATCCTAGAAGACTCAAGGCTGTAATCGCTGCCAATGGTGCTTCAACAAAGTACTGAGTAAAGGGTCTGAATACTTACGTAAATGTGATATTTCACTTTTATTTTTATTTTTTTGCAAACATTTCTAAAAACCAGTTTTTGCTTTGTCATTATGGAGTATTGTGTGTAGATTGATGAGGGGGGAAAAAACAATTTAATACATTTTAGAATAAGGCTGTAATGTAACAATGTGGAAAAAGTCAGAATACTTTCTGAATGCACTGTACGTTAGATAATGATAAATCATCAAACCGGCAGAGAGAGTGAGCTCAAATGTGGTGGTCGGAGAATCCTCAACCTTCTGGCCTGTAGCAATGCATTGCATCGACTGTGCCACAAAAGCATGCTGAAGTGGCAAAGTCAATATCCACATTTATAAACACAGTTATTGTTATTTGTGTTCGTAAACATCATTGTTATGATGAGTTTCCTGGTATCGAGAAGTTCAGGATGCAAGAGAGCAGTCGAACACTTAGATGGAGAGTTGATTCATAGTTAGTTAATAGTTACAGTACTGGATTCACATGACAAGCGGTACGGGCGTAGCCTCTTGTCATCCGAATGACTTTACATAGAAAACCTCTCAGTTTTCGGAGATAATTTCGGAGCTAATTCCATCCAAAAGTTGCCAACAATTATTGAGTGCCACTCATCTCCTACAATAGGATCCCCCTACATGGTATCGTGTGGCACACTAGCCAGGCCATTCCATCACGTACTCCTTCTAAGATTAGCACCAGTGGTCCCCAATCTATCTTGGCACGCAGACCTTCTGTCACCCACTAACTAACACATGGCGTGTCCTTATCCTCTCTATATGAGATCAACGACATTAACCAATACTGTATAAAAATATGTTATATCAATCATTTTGAGTTAATTCTATGACGGGGAGGGTGTTACATTTATTTTACAGTACAAGGGGAGGGTCATGTGAAAATATTTTAAATGTTGGGGAAGGGGGTGCATTTTTTAAATGACACCTTGAGTTGGACCAGCCCCTCCCCCCCTTTACATTTCGATGTCTCTTATAATTTCCGACATATTGGTAGTCTATTTGTTAGTCAACTTGTCTATAATTAGATTAGTCTATAATGTAATTTCTCTTCTATCATTATATTTTGCCCTAGACTACTAAATAAACCCTTGCTCACCAGAGTAATAACATAAATCGATAGAATGAATGCTTCAATCTAGTTGACATCAGTAAAGTTTTCTCTGTCATCTCTGCTTCTTTGGCAGAGGAAAGACGTTTAGACACTGGGGAGAAAATGCAATAAAATATATTTTCAGTTTGACCGGTTGTAACGAATTACAAAGCTGTGAAAATGACTCAACATGTTTCTGATAAGATTCCAGTTCGGCTTGGATGCATATTTTATGTGGTTGAAATAATATCCGCTTTTAAGATGCTGATAAAGATAGCACCTCATACAGATCGTATCTAACTGCGCATTCACATTCTCTCAAGATGCAGAGAGAGAAATAAATCATATTTCTCCACTCCTGTTCCCAAGTAAAAATGTTGTCTACATTTGGTGTATCATTTTACTGCAAGGAATGCTTAATTCTGCAGGAGTTAATATTAAGGCTATGTCAATCAATCACATTTACTTATAAAGGCCTTTTTACATCAATAGATTTCACAAAGTGCTATAAAGAAACCCAGCCTACAACCCCAAACGTCAAGCAATGCAGATGTAGAAGCACGGTGGCTAGGAAAAACTTCCTAGAAAGGCAGGAACCTATGAAGAAACCAGGCTCTGAGGGGTGGCCTGTCCTCTTCTGGCTGTGCCGGGTGGATATTAAAAGAGTACATGGCCGGACATTCAGAGGTCGAGTCAGCAGGTGCACTAGAGAACGAGAGAGAGAGAGAGAGAGAGGGAGAGTCGAAAACTGCAGGTCTGGGACAAGATAGCACGTCCGGTGAACAGGCCAGGGTTCCATAGCCGCAGGCAGAACAGTTGAAACTGGAGCAGCAGCACAACCAGGTGGACTGGGGACAGCCAGGAGTCATCGGGGAAGTGATGGAGAGAGGCAGAGAGAGAGAGAGAATTAGAGGGAGCATACTTAAATGTACACCAGATAAGACTATTGCAGCATAGATACTGGAGGCTGAGACAGGGAGGGATCGGGGGACACTGTGCCTCGTCCGACGATACCCCCGGACAGGGCCAACCAGGCAGGATATAATCCCACCCACTTTGCCAGAGCACAGCCCCCACATCACTAGAGGGATATTAACAGACCACTGAGACACTGCTGAGTATAGCCCATGAAGATCTCCTCCACCGCACGAGCCCGAGGGGGCGGAAGACAGGACAGGAAGCTCACGTCAGTGACTCAACCCACTCAAGTCGAGTATAGCGCAAAAAATCCTGGCACGACATGAAGCACCCCTCCTAGGGACGGCATGGAAGAGCACTAGTAAGCCAATGACTCAGCCCCCGTAATAGGGTCAGAGGCAGAGAATCCCAGTGGAGAGAGGGGAGCCGGCCTTGCAGAGACAGCAAGGGTGGTTCGTCATTCCAGTGCCTTGCCGTTCACCTTCGCACCCCTGGGCCAGACTACAGTCAATCATAGGACCTACTGAAGAGATGAGTCTTCAGTAAAGACTTAAAGGTCGAGACAGAGTCTGCGTCTCTCACATGGATAGGCAGACCTTTCCATAAAACTTGAGCTATATAGCAGAAAGGCCTGCCTCCAGCTGTTTGCTTAGAAATTCTAGGGACAATAAGGAGGCCTGCGTCTTCTGACCGTTCTAGTCAAGATTCTAGCAGCCGTATTTAGCACTAACTTAAGTTTATTTTGTGCTTTATCTGGGTAGAGCATTGCAGTAGTCTAATCTAGAAGTGACAAAAGCATGGACTAGTTTTTCAGCATAATGTTTGGACAAAACGTTTAAGATTTTTTGCAATGTTACAAAGATGGAAGAAAGCTGCCCTTGAAATATTATTGATATGTTCATTAAAAGAGAGATCAGGGTCCAGAGTAACACTGAGGTCCTTCAAAATTTTATTTGAGACGACTGTTCAACCATCAAGAATAATTGTCAGATCAAACAGCAGATCTCTTTGTTTCTTGGGACATAGAACTAGCATCTCTGTTTTGTCCGAGTTTAAAAGTAAAACATTTGCCGCCATTCACTTCCTTATGTCTGAAATACAGGCTTCCAGGGTAAGCAATTTTGGGGCTTCCATGTTTATCGAAATGTACAGCTGTGTGTCGTCTGCATAGCAGTGAAAGTTGACATTGTGTTTCCGAATGGCATCACCAAGAGGTAGAATATATAGTGAAAACCATAGTGGTCCTAAAACTGAACCTTGAGGAACACCGAAACGTACAATTGGTTTGTCAGAGGACAAACCATCCACAGAGACAAACTGATATCTTTCCAACAGATAAGATCTAAACCAGGCGAGAACTTGTCCGTGTAGACCAATTAGGGTTTCCAATCTCTCCAAAAGAATGTGGTGATCGATGGTGTCAAAAGCGGCACTAAGGTCTAGGAGCACGAGGACAGATGCAGAGCCTTGGTCTGACGCCATTAAAATGTAATTTACCACCTTCACGAGTGCAGTCTCAGTACTTTGATGGGGTCTAGAACCAGACTGAAGCGTTTCGCATACATTTGTCTTCAGGAAGGCAGTGAGTTACTGCGCAACAGCTTTTCTAATTTTTATGAGAGGAATGGGAGATTCGATATAGGCCGATAGCTTTTTACATTTTCCGGGTCAAAAGGTTTGCCTTTTTCAAGAGAGGCTTTATTACTGCCACTTTTAGTGAGTTTGGTACACATCCGGAGGATAGGGAGACGTTTATTATGTTCAACATAGGAGGGCCAAGCACAGGAAGTAGCTCTTTCAGTAGTTTAGTTGGAATAGGGTCCAGTATGCAGCTGGAAGGTTTAGAGGCCATGACTATTTTTGTGAATGTGTCAAGAGATACAGGATTTAAAAACTTGAGTGTCTCCATTGATCCTAGGTCCTAGCAGTTCTGTGCAGACCCAGGACAACTGAGCTTTGGAGAAATACGCAGATTCAAAGAGGAGTCCGTAATTTGCTTTCTAATGATCATGATCTTTTCGCCAAAGAATTTCATGAATTCATCACCTCTGAAGTGAAAGCCACCCTCTCTTGGGGAATGCTGCTTTTTAGTTAGCTTTGCGACAGTATAAAAAATAAATGTTAGATTGTTCTAATTCTCCTGAATTAGGAAAAATAGGCTGATCGAGCAGCAGTAAGGACTCTTCGATATTACACGGTACTGTCTTTCCAAGCTAGTCGGAAGACTTCCAGTTTGGTGGAGAGGTTATAGACTTACAGTCAGTCAGTGTCCAGATTTCAGATTCCAATTAACCCATTTGAACAGTAGGCTACAGTTTCCTTGACGTGCCATAGGCCTATTTGAAGTCCCTGTCTTGTGACTGTCGAATTTGTATAGCACCTCTCAATCATTTCACAAAATATAGCCAGTACTGCTATCATCCTCTTTTACCACTTCACCAAATCTTTCCCAAACATGCATTTTCAGGCCCTTTATTTTCAACTCTCCATTTCGCAGTTTTTCTCTTATTGAATTAAACTCTGACATTGTCCCTTTTGCCTCCGTGGATCAATAGTTAACTTTTTCTGCCCGTTCCCAAAAGTATTTGGCGATTGGCGTGTAGGCTATTTGGCGCCTGTACAGCTTAGGCTTACACACTAATGCCAGATAGCCTAAAATAATGAAAGAAAACCCTTAATGTAGCCTGTAGATATAAATTGCACAAGAGTGATACATTTATGGATAGTTTAAGGTATAATCATGACATAATGTAAAAAGGAAATGGAACGGACAGCAAAATTGGATTCCATTCAAATGATATACGATACACATTTCTAACCTAGATGTCTCCTCTCCACTGCTCCACTCTACATGACCTCTCTCTCTCTCTCTCTCTCTCTCTCCTCTCTCTCTCTCTCTCTCTCTCAGGATGAGAAGAACCAGCTGATGACCACTAATGTGTGGCTGTGGCAGGTGAGGAGGAGAAGGGGGTGACTGTAGCTTGTAAAAGAGGCGTAGAAACTGTGTTGTTGTCCACAGAAGAGGATAGATAGATAGATAACAATCTGTGTTTTTCCCTCAACAGGAGTGGATAGATTATAAACTGCGATGGAACCCTGAGGACTATGGTGGGATCACATCGATCAGAGTTCCATCTGAGACCATCTGGCTACCCGACATCGTGCTCTATGAGAAGTAAGCTCTATGATAATATGTCACATGTTATGATGGGCTCCATTTAGCATAATGTCTTCAGACAAGACAGTGTAACCTCAACCTATTTTCACACTAATAGCCCACATTGATACTGTAGATCCTTTTTTTGTATGATGTATTCCTAAAATGTATGTTTTATACACACCCTAGAAAGCCAGTATGAAGGTTAGCTCTCAGGCTACAATGAAAGGTGGCCGGTGTGTGGGAGAAAAAATATCTGAGTTCAAAAAGTACTCGCACTCAAAACCATGAAGAGGAATAACCCAAGGAGGCCGAGATGCAAAAATAATATAATTAATTTAATCCATGCTCAAAAGAATACAAAAAGTGAAAGTGCAAGGTACTAATAAAATACGATTCGGCCTTATACACACCCTAACCATAACATTAAACCTAAACCTAACCCTAATCTTACCCCCTGCCCCCCTCTCCTCCCCCAGTGCTGACGGGCGGTTCGAGGGCTCCCTGATGACCAAAGCCATCGTTAAGTCCAACGGTAGGATCACGTGGACCCCTCCGGCCAGCTACAAGTCAGCCTGCACTATGGACGTCACCTTCTTCCCCTTCGACAGACAGAACTGCTCCATGAAGTTTGGCTCCTGGACCTACGATGGTAACATGGTGGACATGATCCTGTTAGATGACTATGTAGACAGGAAGGACTTTTTTGACAACGGAGAGTGGGAGATCCTGAACGCCACGGGGGCCAGAGGAAACCGGAGGGACGGGATGTATTCCTTCCCCTTTATAACGTACTCTTTCATTCTGAAACGTCTCCCGCTGTTCTATACACTCTTTCTTATTATTCCGTGTCTCGGTCTGTCGTTCCTGACCGTGCTGGTGTTCTATCTTCCATCGGATGAAGGGGAGAAGCTCTCTCTCTCCACCTCCGTCCTTGTGTCGCTCACTGTGTTCCTCCTTGTCATAGAAGAGATCATCCCATCTTCCTCCAAGGTCATCCCCCTCATCGGGGAGTACCTCCTCTTCATCATGATCTTCGTCACCCTCTCCATCATCGTCACGGTGTTTGTTATCAATGTGCACCACCGTTCCTCGGCCACCTACCATCCCATGTCCCCCTGGGTTCGCTCCCTCTTCCTTCAGAGGCTACCTAGGATGCTGTGCATGCGGGGCCACACTGACCGGTACCACTACCCAGAGCTGGCGCCGGAGAGCCCCGAGCTGAAGCCCCGGTCTGGGGGCCTTAAAGGGGGTCAGAGGGCCAGCAGTGGGACCCATGTACAGAGTCCTCTGGAGGGGAAGGAGGATGAGAGTCAGGCCTGGGTCACCATGCTGGAGAGAGCTACGTACTCAGTGCGCTACATCAGCCGCCATATACGCAAGGAGCACTTTATCAGAGAGGTGGGTCACAATGCAATATGTTTTAATCAACATGATATGTAGTGTAATATCATGTATATAATGTTATAATCAGCAGCTGAATTTGTTCCTGTTTCCTTGATTTTCCTGTTTTTCTTATTCCAGGTGGTCCAGGACTGGAAGTTTGTGGCTCAGGTTCTGGACAGGATCTTCCTGTGGGCCTTCCTCACTGTGTCTGTCCTGGGGACCATCCTAATCTTCACCCCTGCCCTGCAGATATTCCTTAGTACCCCTCCCCAGTCAGGACCCAGCACCCCCCTCTAACTCAGCCCCCTCCCCAGTCAGGACCCAGAAACCACCCTCTAACTCATCACCCTCCCCTCCCCAGTCCAGACCCAGCATCCTCCTCTAATTCATCACCCTCCCCAGTCCAGACCCAGCACCCACCTCTAACTCAGCACCCCCTCCCCAGTCCAGGCCTGAGGTCTGGACACCCTACCAACAACTCAACTCTGACCCCCAGTCTGGATCTATAGCCCCCTCTATATCTCCAGTTTCTCCTGAGCTTTTCAGCCAACTGGCTATGGTCAGCACAGCCAACCCCCTACAGTTGAGCTATGCCCTGCCTTCCCCTGCCACACCTTGTGTCAGAATAGCACATCACCATTCTAGAGCAGTTATGCTATAGAGCCTTTACCTATATTTACATATGACATTGTCCTTATGACAGAATTCACTCAATGTACAGAAAATGAATGACGAAGATAATTAGAAAGGTGTTCAAAGTTTGTATCAAAGCCACAATAGGATGTACATTCTAAAGCACAAACATTGACTGAAATACTTTGAATTAGTGTAATATTTACAATATATTCTCTGTAGTTACTGTAGGTACTAATAATATTATACTCAGTTCTTCTTATTATACTCCTCAAAACCGTTATCGCCAGAGTTTTTGCCTTGTGACCCAATTATTGTGATCTTAGTTAGTGTAACTTAGTTTTGTCTGTGAGTAGAATGGTGGTGGCATCCAGGCCACTGATTGGACGAACAGTTCTATTTGTGGTGATTCGTGGAGGGACCTCATTAGCTAGGAATTGTTTGGGTTCTGTTTTTTGTTTTGGGTGTTGTGTCCTTTGTGACTTTTATTTCACACTTGTTTGGGCACTTCATCAACTAGTTAATTATAATCAGTTATTATTCAGGTACAATGAATATTGACAAAAAAATTCCCCCCCGCAGATGTCCAGCCACTTATGTGATTACTGTTAAATGAGAATGATGGGTAACACAGTGAATCAAACTCTACAAACCATATTTTTGATGTCCGGATGTACGTCAAATCATAATAAAGATATTTTGAATAACGCAAGTTTGTATTTTGTCATGTAGTTTTGAATGTCTAAATCCCTTCATTTGGATTCGCTTGGAACTTCGTTTGGAACTCACACAGATTGACGCTGCTGTTACATAGTCAAATTGCGCATGATAGTTGTGAGTGTATTCTTATTTTATTCCGCTAGGTGGCAACCTTGGTAAAACAATGATTCTCAGCTTCTCTCCTACATATCAGCAGTCTGTAGGCCTATTGGAGGTATTTATTTAGTCTATCAATCCTTTGGTCCTGAGTCTTCACTATGTGTAGATATACATGTTATGTCTCACGCTAATACACATACACACTCTTGCATGTGTTCTCATGCACACAAACACGCACACGTCACCACACAAACACACACACATCCCCATACAAACACACCCACGCCCCCACACATGCACACGCTCATGTGTAAACGCACACACATGCACAGCCACCATATTATCAAAAAGTAGACACCTTGCCAGAGTGCATTCAAGACAAACACAATGACATAAAGGAAAGAACTCATTATGTAGGATGCATCTTTTTAGGTACTGTATATGTGTCTTTGAAAAGCTGTACTGTACGCCCCTCAATTCAGCTAGTAACATGCATGGAACCTATCCTCCGCATAGTGAAACGCTCCCAGGTCTAACGCTATACTGACATTGTATACAATATCACATTTTCAGCTATTTGTTATCTTTCTTCCTCTCTTTCTTTCTTCCTTCCTTCCTTTCTCTTCCTTCCCTCTCCTCCCCGTGTAACCATTGACCTTTTCACTCTGACTCCTAAGTGTTTGTGAGAGGTCCAACCTTTCCCAGACACCTCATTATAACTCTCAGCTGGTAGAGCACGGCGCTTGTAACGCCAAGGTAGTGGGTTCGATCCCCGGGACCACCCATACACAAAAAATGTATGCACGCATGACTGTAAGTCGCTTTGGATAAAAGCGTCTGCTAAATGGCATATTATTATTATTATTATGAAGATTTATGGTTTCCTTGGCCGGGTTGTATCAGGGCAGTCAGTGTAGATCAGGGTTCTTCAATTCTGGTCCTGGAGGGCCGAAACACTTCTGTTTTTTATTTCTATCTGGTAGTTAATTGCACTCACCTGGTGTCCCAGGTCTGAATTAGCCCCTGATTAGAAGGAGAGGATGAAAAACAGAGGTGATTCGGCCCTCTAGGACCGGAATTGAAGAACCCTGGTGTAGATCAACAAGGGCTTGTTTCAGAACGACTTGTGGGTGTATTTTATCAGTGTCTTCACGGGGGTAGCTCAAGCGTCTCAAAGTAGGAATGTTGATTTGGGATCAGTTTAGCCTTTTAGATCACAATGAATAAGACTACACGGACACAGTGGACCTGCCCCCAGATCAGCACTCCTACTCTGAGATGCGTGTTACACACGGCCCCTGGGACCCACGCTCTATCTATCTGGGAACTGTCACTGTGGAACCCGCAGTCCCAAACATCAAAGTCACAGAGCCTCAGACACAAACACCAAAACTCACCTGACCCCATTCCATCACATCCCTAGGTTATGAGTGACGTGCCCAGGCATTGTTAAAGCCAGGGCCGTCTTAACGTGTCCGTATGTTTGTGTGTGGACATAGATCAGGTGCATCTTAGTTTGCATGTGTGTGTGTGTGTTTTGTGTGTATATACATATTGTAGGTATGTGTGTGCGTGTGAGCGTGTGAATGTGTGTATGTGTGTGTGTGTGTGTGAACATTATCTGTGCGGATGTCCTGGGCAGTCTGTTAAATTTAAGTAAACCACTCATGCAGGCAGGGGATAGTGGAGAAAGACACACCACTAGGCTACTGGAGAGTGGACCACACTAGGCTACTGGAGAGTGGACTACACACTAGGCTACTGGAGAGTGGACTACACACTAGGCTACTGGAGAGTGGACTACACTAGGCTACTGGAGAGTGGACTACACACTAGGCTACTGGAGAGAGGACCACACTAGGCTACTGGAGAGTGGACTACACTAAGCTACTGGAGAGTGGACTACACTAGGCTACTGGAGAGTGGACTACACTAGGCTACTGGAGAGTGGACAACACACTAGGCTACTGGAGAGTGGACAACACACTAGGCGACAGGAGAGTGGACAACACACTAGGCTACTGGAGAGTGGACTACACTAGGCTACTGGAGAGTGGACTACACTAGGCTACTGGAGAGTGGACTATACTAGGCTACTGGAGAGTGGACTACACTAGGATACTGGAGAGTGGACTACACTAGGCTACTGGAGAGTGGACAACACTAGGCTACTGGAGAGTGGACCACACTAGGATACTGGAGAGTGGACTACACTAGGCTACTGGAGAGTGGACCACACTAGGATACTGGAGAGTGGACTACACTAGGCTACTGGAGAGTGGACCACACTAGGATACTGGAGAGTGGACTACACTAGGCTACTGGAGAGTGGACTACACTAGGCTACTGGAGAGTGGACTACACTAGGATACTGGAGAGTGGACTACACTAGGCTACTGGAGAGTGGACCACACTAGGATACTGGAGAGTGGACTACACTAGGCTACTGGAGAGTGGACTACACTAGGATACTGGAGAGTGGACTACACTAGGCTACTGGAGAGTGGACTACACTAGGCTACTGCATTAAAACCCATTAGTACAGCACATCTCATTTATAAAATATTCAAAATTAACAGGAGCCTAGCAGCTTTGTCCTCTTTATCTTACTCCATCTCTCGCGCATTCTCTCCTCCCTCCCTCCCTCCCCCTCCCTCCCTCCCTCCCTCCCTCCCTCCCTCCCTCCCTCCCTCCCTCCACCTTGCTCATTCTTCCCTTATCTGATTTTCTCTCACTCACCGTTTCACTCCCAACCTCCTCTTTCTTTCCACCTCTATAAAACACCTTATATCTCATTCTCTTTCTGTCACACACACACACACACACACACACACACACACACACACACACACACACACACACACACACACACACACACACACACACACACACCACACATACACACATACACACACATAGGGTGCTTGCTGACTCCTGTGGTCTGTCCTGCTGCCATATCGGATCTTGAGCTCACAGTGGGGCTCCTGCTGGTAAAGATCAGGCCACTGAGTCTCTGTCACTCTGGATATCACCTCCAACAGAGAACGAGAGAGAAGACATTTACATTTTTTTATTTTTATTTTGTTACATTTTAGTCATTATGCAGACGCTCTTATCCAGAGCGATTTACAGTTAGTGAGTGCATACATTTTTCATATATAAGAGAGAGAGAAGGAAGAATTTACAAAAAAACAGAGCAAACTAGAATGCTATTTGGCTCTAAACAGAGAGTACACGGTGGCAGAATACCTGACCACTGTGACTGACCCAAACTTAAGGAAAGTTTTGACTATGTACAGAATCAGTGAGCATAGCCTTGCTATTGAGAAAGGCCGCCGTAGGCAGACCTGGCTCTCAAGAGAAGACAGGCTATGTGCACACTGCCCACAAAATGAGGTGGAAACTGAGCTGCACTTCCTAACCTCCTGCCAAATGTATGACCATATTAGCGACACATATTTCCCTCAGATTACAAAGATCCACAAAGAATTCGAAAACAAACCCAATTTTGATAAACTCCCTTGTCTACTGGGTGAAAAACCACAGTGTGCCATCACAGCAGCAAGATTTGTGACCTGTTGCCACAAGAAAAGGGCAACCAGTGAAGAACAAACACCATTGTAAATACAACCCATATTTATGTTATTTATTTTCCCATTTGTACTTTAACTATTTGCACATTCTTACAACACTGTATATATACATAATATGTCATTTTAAATGTCTTTATTCTTTTGGAACTTCTGAGTGTAGTCTTTACTGTTAATATTTATTGTTTATTTTACTTTTGTTTACTATTTACTTCACTTGCTTTGGCAATGTTAACATAAGTTTCCCATGCCAAT